CAGCGCCGCCCCACCGCCTTCCCGCAGGCCCCGCCGCTCGGCCCCCAGCCCCGAGCTCGCAGCCGCCCCCTCCCCGCTGCCTCCTTTTGGGGGAGTCACTGTAGGCCAGGGAGGGCCCGGGAGCCCTAGGCCCGGGGTCTAGACAGACCTGCAGGGACCTAGGAACTCCTCAGACTCGACTCCGCCTGAAGACTTGGGGCAGAGTGACAGTGAGGTCCCCTCCCCTGCGGCAGGTCCCTGCTGGCAGAGCTGGGTGGCCCCAGGCTGGCCCGGGTCCTCGCTGAGTCTGCGAAAAGCCTGTTCACTTCCCCACCCCGGACTTCTTCCCCATTCTTCTTGGCCTCAGCCACCCTAGGGGGAAATGACCGGGAGGAATCTTTGGCTTCCAGGCAGAGGGGAGACTTGGCCATGATGTGGTGAGACCTCTGCTGTACAGGCGACGGAAAGCCGGGGACCAGGATGTCCTCGGGCCAGGTCCTCGAGGGCCCCAGGGCCGCGTCTGGCCCAAATTTGAGAAAGAGGAGGGAGAGGGGGGCACAGGGCCGGCACAGAGCTGGGGAGGTGGCCGGTCCGCGGGCAGGAGCGAGGAGGAGACTCCGGCCTCCCTGCGCAGGGTACCCAGGGGGCACAGGGTCCCAGCTCAGCCCCGAAGTTCCCTTGTCTGGAGGGGCAGAAGAGGGGCACCAGTCCCGCCCTGGGGGGCCCCCAGCCCAGAGGACAGAAGAACCCAGGCCCTTCTTTTGGTCGGGAAGGAACACAGGGCAGACTTGGGACCAGCCGAGGGCCCTCTGTCGACCTCGCAGGGGCTGCTCTGGCCTTTGGGGACTCGTGTCAGGGCAGCTGAGGACCCCCCTCCGACCCCCACACGCTCCCTCTTTTCACCCTGGGGCTGGGCCAAGTTTCAGACTCCTTTCCAGTTCTTGGGTGGGGGTGGGCACCCGGCGGAGTGAGGAATCCTGAAATCCTGTTCCTGGGGGCCGGGGTGACGGGCAGGACCAGCTGTACTAGGAGGCTTCCCACATCTGCCCTCACCACGAGGTCCCTGGGGCCGAGAGAGGTGGGCCTTCCCTACATCCGGGAGGCTTTCATCTCCCGCTCCCCGAGAGATCCTCACGGACTGCATATGTGTGTGTGTGCGTGCGTGTGTGCGTGTGTGCAGAGCGTCAGTGCCTGCCTGTGTGGGTCAAGCTGTGTGTCCTCGGGAGGGCCCCTGGGAGTGTTAGGCCGGCCAGCGGGCCAGGCACTTCGGGTGTGAGGCCGCTGACAGGCTCAGTGGCAGGGGCTGACGGCCGCAGGCGGCAGGGAGCTGAGACATCTGTTGCCCACGCGGCCGCCTGCCCGCCTAGGAGAGGCCTCTCACGTCACAGGAGCAGCAGCGGCCTTGTTTGGCCAGGGCTGCAGGACCCTGGCGGGCAGTCAGGCAGTCTGGTAGGGGGTGTGCTGAGGAGAGCCCCTCTTTTGTCATTTGTCTCTTTTGTCACACAGCAGCAGCTCCGGTCCAGGGAGCCAAGATGACTGAGCCGGGGCTTGGGTGGGATCTGGGAGGATTTGCAGGGCTGGGGAGGCACAGGCCACAGCTTGCCTAGCAGGTACGTGAGGGGCAAGGCTGCAGGGGACTGCGCTGTGTGGGAGTGTCCTTAGCGAGGGGGCTCAGAGCCGGCCCTGCCCATGCCGCGGGGCCTCCCCAGCCGGGACCCAGCAGGAAGGAATAGCTGCATACAGACACGGGCCCTTGAGGTGCTGCCCAGAAACTTCAGTGGTCCCCAGGGTCCGCAGGGCTCCTTCCCCACAGATAAGCCGTGACGGCTGGCCTGCCCCGAGCATCCACAGTGCGCCAGGCCCACCCCGTGCAGCCCTGCGGTGCGCCCGCTGTGTAGCCAGCCTCTCGTGGAGGTGTCACACCCCCCCAGTTGTCTCAGCCGGGGCACATGGCAGGCCTCCCTCCGACCTCACAGTGTAGATGGGGGCACTGAGGCACAGGGAAGTTAGGGTGAGATATCCAGAGAAGCGGAGTGAGCAGGAATCCCGGCCCATGGCCAGCTTGCTGGGACTGCGTGGACGACAGCGTCCTCTGTGGCTCCCTCCCCACCCCACCACGTCCGGGCTGAAGTGCGGCTGCTGCAGGTGAGGGGGCCACGCAGGCTCCCACCTCCCCCAGCCTCACTGCGCGCATCTGCTTTCCCTGCGTTTACTCCTCACTCTGGCGTAGTTAGAGGGATCAGCTTGAATTCGGCTCTGTCCAGGGACTTCCTGTTGGAACCCTCCGTGATTCCCAACCACCCCAGGGAAATGCCGGCTCCTGTCTGCACCCACGGCGCCCTGCAGAGCTGGTCTCCTCTGGGACTCTCTCCCCTCCCTGCCTTTTTACACAGAAGCACAGTAGTTAAGAACAGAAGTTTGGAGTTGGAATCAGTTGGCCTGGGTTAGAATCCTGACTCAGCCATTTACAGTATAACTTGTTTCTCTGTGCTTCAGACCTCAATTTTCTCATCTAGGAGATGGGTTTGCCTTGCGAATTAATGAGTCAAAGCATGTCGAGACAGCTTGGGTAGTCATGGTTTCCTGGCCTGGTGCCCTCTCTGACCAGAACGCCCCTAGCTTAAGGGAGCTGGCAGCATCCCAGCCACCCCTGCTTTCAAGAACTTCCTCCGCCCACAGGGACCTGAATGCACCCCTTGTCTGGCTGAGTCATCTCGCAGCTAGCTGCCCCCTGAGAAAGGAGATTCCTCTTTAGAGGGGACCAGGGCAAGCGCCTCCTCATCTGCAAGTATGAGAACAGCCTGTCCTTACCCAGTGACTGAGGGGCCACTGTGAGCTGGTTGTGGCCACAGTGCTGAGTCCAGGTGTCCTTGCAGGGCAGGGAGCCCAGAGCAGGCCCGGGAGAGGAGGAAGCGTGGTGCCAGTGGCCACCTGCCACCGGACGAGCTTGTGCAGCTGCCTAGGTCCTGCGAGTGACCATTAATGGTGGCCTGGGGACATCGTGCTTCATAAGAGGACCATTCCCCAGGCAGGTCAGCCAGGCAGGGCCCACAGCAGGCTCTGGTCAAGGAGCTGCCTGCTCCTCTGCTTCATGCGCTTGTCGCTGTGAACTAGCCGAGCTGAGCCTGGCCGGGCTTCCAGGAGCTCCCACTCCCGCAGTAGGACGGAGAGCACTGGCGGCTCCCGGCCCGCAGTGAGCGAGACGCTGGCGGGAGAGGCAGGGTAACAGCAAGGGTGCCCCGGTCTGTTTCTGGAGGCGGGGGTGGGGCCGCACGTGAGTGAAGGGGCCCCCTACTGCCTGAATTTCCCAGGGCTGCCTACCCTGCATCTCTCTGAGTCCTCACCCCCCACACGTGCCCTTCATCAGAGGACCAGTGTTGTGAGGGTGTCCGCATGGGAACCCTGCTGGACTCCGCAGGGTCAGCAGTGACCCCGGGTGCCCTGTAAAGGGAGTGGGATGGAGTTGAGACCCAAGGGCAGGCTGGCAGCTGGAACTAGATGGACTTGCCTGAGGAGCTGGTCGGCGGACTCCCCCATCATACCTGTGATGAGGTAACAACAGTGCGGGGGGCATGGATGGGGACCGGCGCAAAGGGCAGCTCCAGAGGTGGTGGCCTCTCTGCTGAGACCTGGAGGGGAAGCAAGAGGCTAGTGAGGAGGGTTCGGGAGACATAAGAAAGAGTGTTCCAGGTGGAGGGAGCAGCATTTGTAGAAAGCGTGGAGGCGGGCACTGTCAGGTGCCCCTGGGTCACCAACAGCCTCCTTCCAGACCCTCACACCCCTCCCGGCCTCAGGGGCTGGGACTGAACCCACGGCCTGCGCGCTGCATCTCCAGTCGTTTTTGTTTGTTTTTTATTTTGAGTCCGAGTCTCGCTGAGTTGCCCAGGCTGGGCTTGAACTTGTGAACAGGAGTGCATCACCACACCCTACTTGGAGCTGGGGTTTTTCTCAGAGCAGAAGCTACAGCAAGGCCACCTGCGGGCCTCAGCCAGCCTCCCGGCTTGCCCACCCACAGGACCCCTGCCAGCCGGTCCACACCAGGCAGATGCTAAGGTTGGAGGAGCTTTAGCGCAGAGGGTCGCCTGGTGCCCGTGCTGACCATCTGCCTTGTCTGCCCATAGGTCCATGCGGGCAGCAAGGCCGCACTGGCTGCCCTGTGTCCTGGAGACCTGATCCAGGCCATCAACGGAGAGAGCACGGAGCTCATGACGCACCTGGAGGCGCAGAACCGCATCAAAGGCTGCCACGATCACCTCACGCTCTCTGTGAGCAGGTGCGCACCGGGCGGGCCGGGCAGGGAGGCCGGCAGGAGATGTAGGAGCGATCGGGAGCGGCCTCGTCCTGGGTGAGCTGGGCTTGTCCCACTCAGCTCCTCAGCACCCTGCCCAAGCCCAGACCTCGGATTAGTGCTTTCCTAGGGGCCCGGAGGGTACCGATTAGAGCCGGAATAGCTTACGGGAGAGAGAAATCCCTTTTGGCTTGAGATTAGAAGTCCACGGGGGCTCTTACTGCAGGTGTTGCTGGCAGCAGAGATGAGAGCTTGAGCTGCCTGTGGGCTTTACTTCAGTCCCTTCCCCTCCCCACAGTGACCATTGTAATGAGCATCTCAGAGCATTTATCTTCAAACCAATTAAAACTGAGTGGAGGCCCCACTTTACAGATGGACCAACTGAGGCTCAGAAAGGTTAGAGAGTGCTTAAAGCCACACAGGCAGTAAGGAAGCAGAATTTGACTCCTGGTCTGTCTTACTCCTAAAGACTCCAGCACCTCTGCCGAGCTGCCAGCCACTGCCTCCCGCCCCCCTGGGCAGCTGTCCTGCCTCAGCTGTCCCCACCACGGCCCATGCCTCTGCTCTGGTGGGGTCCGGATTTGGAACAGTCTTCCCACCACGAATTGTGTAATGCTGTGCAGCCCACTGAGAAGGAGAGGAGACAGGGTCCTGAGCTAGAATGAAAGGTCCAGTGCCCCCGGCCTTGCCCAGCCCTAGGTCTGTCTTCAGCTTCGACAGGCTGCTGGGCTAGTCCCAGCCAAGTGGGATCTCCCCACAGCCCTGCCCCGGCTGGATCGGAGAAGTCATTTCACTGCTCAGCTCTGCCACGTTCCCTGTTGACAGGGACTTTCCACGACCTCCTATGGAAATGTGTGGGCGAAACCTCTCCAAACCACAACACAGCTAACCATGCCTTAGTGCCGGCAGGGTGGGAGGTGAGCTGTTGGCCTGGAGCCTTTAAACTCGGTGAGAGAGTTTATGAGGTAGACCTGTTTGTCGCTGGCCCGAGACTAGGTCTGGGCTCGGGTCAGGACGCCGGCTGTGCGCTTGGCACTGAGTAGGCCCCGCTGCAAGTCCAGGGCCTTTCCTGCTCCACAGGGCACATAGTGAGGACGCCCTGGCCTAGGAGCTCAGCAGAACTAGGCCTCCGCGGGTCCGAGGTAGCCACATGACCTCCGTGAGCCTGGGTTTCCTTTCCCATAAAACAAGGTCACGTGCATCCCCCGGAGCCAGACTGAGGGGCTGCAGGCTGGGGGAAGTCTCAGCATCGCTCTGCCCACAAGGAGCCTCCGAGGCCTCCCGCCTTGGCCGGGTTCCTGGGCCCTGACTCACCTCTGGCTCTGGCTCGAGCTGAACCGGGACAGCCTGGTGGCAGCAGAGCTGGGGGAGGCGCACAGGGGCCTGAGTCAGGAGATTCCTAGAGAGACCGATGTCACAGGAGGGTGCTGGGCGGAGGCCCCTCTTCCTTCCTTCCTGTCCTGGTCATTTGTTCCACACCAGGCGTAGATGGAGCCAGTGGTCCACTGACCTGTTCCAGCCTGGGCGTCACAGTCTCCAGCGGCCATCTGGCCATGCAGTAGGGAGCACATCCATTCTCCACAGTCACACAGCTCGATTCCAGACTGGCGTGAGAGCCGTGAGAGAGCTGTGCGCCCCGAGCCTGACCTTCCTTGTCCCCACAGTGGGAGCTGTTCTGTGGTCTGGGCATTGAATGATGGTGAGGTTCCGAGCCTGCTCAGAGTGAAAACCCAAGTCCTGCCCTTCACGCATCCACACACACGCAGACTCTTAGGGATCAAGACAGAGGGGCCGCTTTGACTCTCTGGCCCAGCATTCCTCCCTCCGGGCACCCTCTCCCCTGCAGGGGCCCCTGAGTCAGGGCCCCCATCTGTCCGCCTGCTATTCCAGGACCTGGGCCTGGGCCCCAAAGACCCTTCCACCTGCAACATGGGCTCCTGTGAGGATCAGCCTCGTGAGCTGCTGACGGGAGTAACAGGGCCCAGGCCAGCCTCACTGCCTGCCTCTGCCTACGGAGTGCTCTGATCCCTTACAGACTTGCCTGCAGAGTGAAACGTGCTGTAAAGACCCAGCTTCCCTTCCCAAGGCCGGGCAGCCATAATCTAAGGCAACCCAGGCTTCGTGGGCATGTTCTGTAGGTCCAGGACTTTCCTAGCATGAACTGCAACCCTGACACGGATGAGGTCTCCGTGGCCCAGGATTGTGATCCAAGGTGCCTTGGTGTAGCCCAAACTTTGGATCTCATTTCATTGAAGATGGGCAGTTGGAGCCACCTGCCCGTCCTGAAGGTCTGTGATGGAGTTAAGACTGTTTAAGCCCTTCATTCTGACCTGATGGCTTGGGCCACTCTCATGGCTCTGAGTACGTGGTGCCCTATGTTCTTTAGACCTCAGCTTGGACAGACCTCCTTGGCAGAGCTTCAGGAAAGAATCAGGCCAGATAGCCACGGAGAATGTCCCAGGTGTGTCCTAGCAGAGTTTTGAGAGAACATACAGTTAGAGCTGTGAGTTAGGGCAGTCACTTAGTTGCATGGCTGAAGGGATTGCCCTGGGCCAGCAGAACCTTGATGCCAAGGACCCCCAAGGGCTGTTGCGTAGAGAGGTAGTCTGCAAGGCTCCAGGGAGCGGGCAGTCAGTGTGCACTGCAGCTATAAAGGGATTATTAAATCTCTTGGCTGATAAAGAAACAGGATCAAGTCGTGAGGCCCGTTGTGAGGCCCCAGGAAGCCCTAGAAGACCTCTTGATTCAGGGTCCTTATTTCCTTTTGGTCTAGCCACTCACTTCACACCACCTGCAGTCCAGGGTCTGTGCACCCGCCCGGCCTGCCTTCCGTTGGAGCTGGGAGCTACCCAGGGGCAGGCCCCAGCCGCAACCTCTAGGCCTGCCCGCCCTGCTTATGGCAGGTTTACGATGTTTTTCTCCCTCCTGAGTAGTGTTTGGCTTTTGGTTTCTATGGCGATGCAGGAATTTCCTAATGGCCTGTTTCCCATTTGGGCTAGGCAGACCTCGGAGATGACTCTGCTGGCTGTGTGGGGAGGCGGCAAGAGGGAAGGCACACCCTTGAGAACCTCCATTTCACCTCCCCGAGAGCCGACCCCAGCTCCGGTCGGAGGCCGAGGGCGGCCGAGGGATCCGGGGCTGAGCTCCTGGCTGGCGTATCTGTGTAGCTCGCTCCCTCCTGAGCGGAGCCTCTGAGCTGAGCTTCTGCAGGCCCCAGACAGGGTGGACGTGTGGGGAAGTTGCAGGGCCCCTGCGGCCACCTCTGTCCAGGAGCCAAATGAGACTGGGCTGGGCATTTGGCAGGGAAGGGCGCACATAGCCCTGCCCCAGGAGGGTGGCAGATCTAGACCCGTGGCTCTGCCACAGCGGACCCCACTGGGTACCGGGGAAACACAGGCTGGTCCTGGGCGACTCCAGGCCCAAAGCCCCCGGTCCTGGCTCGGGGCCGTGCTGAGCGTACTGGGCGGATGTGTGTGACGGTTGGAATTCTTGCCACAGGCCTGAGAGCAGGAGCTGGCCTGGTGCTGCTGATGACAAGGTCCAGGCACACAGGATTCACATCGACCCCGAGGCCCAGGTAGGTCCAGACATGGTCTGACATGGCCTGGCTCCAGGTCCCCCAGCAGAGGAGCCAGGTAAGGTCCACAGGTTCACCTCCCCTGTGGCTTTCGGGTACTCAGGACAGAGACTGAAACAGAGGGCTTCTCCGGGCTGTTCCCGCTCCACCCCACGTTCCACAGGGGATGCGCCCGCTGGCATTCATCCTGATAGCTGGCAGTGCCACGTTAGGAAGAAGTCAGCAGTGTGGCAGAGGAGCAGGCGCCTGGTGGCTGGTGTTCCCAGCCCAGGAGACACGTCTCTGTCTCATCCCAGCCTTGGGTGCCCGGAGGTTAAAGTTCTCTCCTGGCCTTTGTGTGACTGCAGCTGGTGTAGATCACAGGCTACGCATCTGTCCGCTTAATCACGTTTTTGTGTACAGCAGAAGTCTCAGCCACGGCTGTGTCCTCGAGGGAAGTGAGGGGTCTGGGCTGCTCTAGGACTTCGTTTCCCCACGGACGTGAGAGGTAGCTGTTGCCAAGAGTGAGGTATCCAGACCAAGAGTGAGGTATCCAGACCCAGCTCGATGTGTCTGAGCCAAGAGTGAGGTATCCAGACCCAGCTCGATGTGTCTGAGCCCCTGAGTCTGGGCAAGGTGGAGTCTGGGCCAGAACCGCAGGACCCAGCATGTGGAAGCACAGTGTCCTGGGCCTGCTTTTGTCCTCTCCACATGGAGGAAAAGGACCCGGAGCGGGGAGAGGAGGCTGCTGCACCAGATCTGAGAAAGGGTCTGCCCCGGCCCCTCCCTCACTGACTGCCGCAGTCCCCGCTGGCCCTGTCCAGCGTCCCACAGGCCACGTGCTTGCCACCGCCACAGAGGGCCGTAGTCCTACAGGTGGTGAAGGCGGGACACTCAGGAGTCCTGAGATAGGGGGAGCCAGGCCAGGGGAGCCCGGCATAGGCGCATTACTCCGCCAGGAGTCAGAGAAGGCTTCCTGGAGGAGGGGTATTTCCGGGAAAGAACAGGCAGGCAAAGAGGTGGCAGAGAGGAAGCATCCTCAGGAAGCACACGGCAAGGCCCAAGGTGAGACTGCACCCCAGGCTCAGAGAGCAGAAAGGCTGGGAGGGCACGGGCTAGAGGCAAGGGATGAGGCTCAGCATGGCTCTTGAGCTCCTCCGTCCGGCACCTCGGCTGTTTTTGCAGGGATTCACGTCTACTTTTGTGCCTCAGAGGCTTTCTCTGGTGGCCCTGTGAAAGCCCTACGGGCTGGGGCAGGGGCAGATTTGGCATCAATAAATAACCAGCTTTAATAAAAAAAAATAAAATAACCAGCTTTACAAGGGGCAGGTGGGAGGGAGCGGCGGAGCGCAGACCTGCGTGCGTTGTGTGAGGCCAGGTTCCCTCAAAGGTGGCAGAGGCAGGAGAGGTGGAAGAGGGCCTTGGGATCCGGAGCCCAGTCGTGTTTGTTCCTCCTCAGGAGGCTCACAGCCAGTGGTCCCCTGCCCCAGTGCTTTTCTTCATCTGCTTTGAACACCAGGCTGCTAGTGGCCCAGATTTTCCATAAGCAACACGGCAGCCCCCTCCTCTGCCGCCCCTTTCTGTGCTGAAAAGGTCATGGGCTCCATAGGTGGTGACAAAAACATCCCCACCCCACCCTTTTGGGCTGTGTCCTCACTCAGAGACACAGGGCTCTTTGTCCCGTTGCTGTTCCCACCCTCTGCCCGTGGGGGTGGGGCTAGCTGGAGCCATCAGAGGAGGAGGAGGCCATGGTTAGCCCAGGGCCAGTGCAGGGTACCCCGGAATGCACCCCACAGGGAAGCGGACAGGGCCCACTGGGGCTTCAGGCCCACAGGGGACGCTCCCAGGACCGAACGTGGGAACGCAGGGCAGAAGGGTAGCAACAGGGAGGGGTTTCTGGGAGGCCTGAGACCTGGGAAGGGCTAGAGGCAAGTCGGGTGCAGCCCCCAGCCTGTGCCCTGCAGCCCCGCACAGAGTCGGGCCTTGGCCTCAGGAGGTGCGGCCCGCTCAGCTGGACTTGGTGCTCACCTCCAAGCTGAGGGTCCAGAATCGGACCTCGTCATGGGGGACCTGGCGACCACGCAGGCCATCGCTCTCCGGCCGCTGCAAAGCCCACTGCGGCTTCACCCAGCAAGTCTGCAGCGGCCGCCCAGACCCGGGGAGCGCAGCGCGGGGATGAGGTTCACCCTACACAGAGGGGGCGCCTGTGAACGGAGGCTCGGGAGTTCCAGTGAGAGCCCTTCCGCTAAGGGGCGTTTGCCGTGTGCCGAGCCTGTGGGTAGAGACTGTCGCGTCCCCCACTCACAGCTGGTGAACCAGGTTCGGAGAGGTGAGGTGACGCGCCAGGTTTGCGAGTGGTAGAGCAGGGACTCAGTCACAGAGGCCGCCGCTGGGTTCACACCGACCGAACAGGCTGCTGCATGGGTGGCCGGGGAGGGGCATGGCACTGATGACCCCGCAGTCCACTCCCCCACCCTGCTGGCGGGGGTGGCGAGGGCCTCCGTCCTGCCAGCCACCGGCTCCCCCGCCCCCTCCCCACTGAAGCCTCCTCCTGGAGGCCGAGCCCCGCCCCCACCGACCACAGCCCATCTGGCCCCCATTAGAGGCCAGCCCCGCCTGCCTGCTTGCCCAGCGGACATGTGTGAGAGCGCTCAGGTTTCTCAGCGCTTCTCTAGGGTCTGACAGGGATAGAGTCCTGCTGCTGCTGCTGCTGCTGCCGCCGCCTTGATGGGGGCCAGCCTGGGCAGCAGTACCCTCCCCTTTGTCCACAGAGTAGGGGAAGGGGAAGGGCTCCCCCTCAACTGCTGGCCTGTGCATTCCCCGAGCTCCGACCTTGGAGAAAGCAAGACACAGGCTACAGGGTGCCCAGTGCTGGAGGCTGCCCACGGCCAAGTCCAGCTCTTCCCCGCGAGGCTGGGCATCCTTTCCTTCCCACCCAGGCCTCCTGTCCACACTGCAGAGGCTTACAAGTCACCTCCCGGGCAGAGGCGGGGACCTTCCCCATGGCCTGAACTCGAGCTGGACCCCAAAATCTGGCTGCTCTGGCTGCCAGCCCAGATTCGGCCACGGGAGCCACCACGGCCTTCCCCAGTGGGGCCCGTATACGTGCGGTTAAGTGTGTGTGTGTGTGTGTGTGTGTGTGTGTGTGTGCTGGCCTTACGCGTGCATATGTCTTTAAGCAGACACGTGACTGTGTGCACAGCCCTGTCATTGGTGTGGCTGTGCTTGTGTGCCTGCAGCCTGAGGTCACACAGCTCGGGACTCTGTAGGGGTGGACAAAGCCCCCCAGAGCGGAGAGAGCCAGCCGGTGCCCACTGCGGCCCGGTGGCGCAGAGTGGAGGTGCAGCGAGCAGGGTGAGGCCGCGGCTCTCCCAGTGCCTCAGGCCTCACTCTCACAGGACAGCAGCCCAGTGAGCAGCAGGCGGTCCTCGGCCGCCGGGATTGCACCAGAAGACGCCCGACCGGGCCTGGGATCTCCGTGTGGACCGGGCCTGGGGTCTGCGTACGGGCAGTCACCTCGTCTTCCAGCCCCTCAGAACGGCAGCAGCAGTGAGGCCGCCCTGCCAGCCCAGATGAGCGGCCTGCACGTGTCTCCACCCCCGGGGTAGTGCAGTCTTCGCCTTCGCAGCCCCGCCCAGACCCCATCCTCATGCCTGATCCCTCAGCTCCCCCCAGGCCCCATCCCGACCCCGGACCCTTGACCCTTGTCCCAGCTGGTGGCATTCTGGTTCACAGAGCCTCACCCCCTTCCCACGCTGGCAGAGTGGGGGCCGGCTCGGCAACCTGTCGCTCCTCCACCTCGTTTCCTTACCCAGTGCGGATCCAGCCAGAGGCGTCCCACGCAGCCGGGACTGCAGAGTGGACCTGGGCTCTGAGGTGTACAGGATGCTTAGGGAGCCTGGAGAGCCCGCGGCTGTGGAGCCCAAGCAGTCAGGCTCCTTCCGCTACCTGCAGGGCATGCTGGAGGCCGGCGAGGGCGGTAAGACCCTGACGCCTTGTCCTGCCCGTCGTCCCACCCCGCCGTGTCCCCCTCTGACCGGCCAGCCCTCCGCCCTGCCTCACACCCCCTGCCTCACTGGCCAGACTCCCCAGTCTCGGCGTGGAGTCCCCAGAAGCAAGGCCCTGCAGAAATGGAGGTCCGACCTCCTCACTGGCTCATCCCGCCCGTGCTTCCCGTTTCAGGGGAGCGGCCCGGGCCCAGCGGCCCCCGGAACCTCAAGCCCACAGCCAGCAAGCTGGGCACTCCGCTGAGCGGCCTGCAGGGACTGCCAGAGTGCACGCGCTGCGGCCATGGGATCGTGTGAGTACCCGCACCCCTGAACCCCCGGGCCCTTGCTGGGGGCAGCGCGAGGACCTGAGGGTCATCTGACTCTGACCTCCCGGGCCCGTCCGCACCCGACCCTCATCAGGGGCACGATCGTCAAGGCCCGGGACAAGCTCTACCACCCAGAGTGCTTCATGTGCAGCGACTGCGGCCTGAACCTCAAGCAGCGCGGCTACTTCTTCCTGGACGAGCGGCTCTACTGCGAGAGCCACGCCAAGGAGCGCGTCAAGCCGCCCGAGGGCTACGACGTGGTGGCCGTGTACCCCAACGCCAAGGTGGAACTGGTCTGAGCCTCGACCCCTCCCGCCCCTGCTTCCTTCGCTGCCGCCTCGTGCCTGTGTAAATACATGTCCAGTCCCTCCCTATTAAAGAGCCTTCGCTCGGCCTCTAACCAGACACGTCCTGGCCCCCACCCTCCAGCGCAGGCCACGGCGCCTGTGCGGTGAGACCAGCTCAGGTGCCAGGGAGGCCCTGGGCACGGGGTGTAGTGGGGAACGAGAGGCACCACGCTGTCCTCGCGGGGAGAGCTGGCCGGCAGACCCCGGGCCTGGGGAGATGGACTGGGCTGGCACACAGCCGGCGAGGCCCACTTCATTCTGAGCCCTCTTTTTCTTTGTACTTTCTCTCTTCAGCCAGTAGAGGGCGCCCTTGCTTTTTCCAGCCTGAGAGAGAAGGAAGGTTTTAGAAAGAATTCTTGCCTGGGGCTGCTGGTTTCCCCAAAGATGCTCCGTTTTATTCCAGAGTGGAAGGAAAATTCCCCCTCCCTCATTCCTGAGGGAGAACTCATCGTTCCCCACGATGGGTCTGCCCTGGGCCTTTTGTCCCTCTCTTGCACGCACTGAGACAGACTCATGTTTTTTAAAAATACATACACAGTACATGAGTAGTAATAGAGTCGCCGCGTGGCTAGTAGCTGTGTGCCCTGAATGCTCTGCCCGGTGGATCCACTCTACTTCGCTTGCTCTGGGGCCCCGTTTATTTAGTGAGCTTGAGAATACGTTTGTACTATTTTCAATTTTGTGCTGTCACAAGCCACAAAAAGCGGTTATCAGTTGACATTCTGTCAGGGTGCACCAGTACTTGTTTCCTCCAGCTCTTGCCAATATCCTGACCTTTTCCGTTTCTAAAACCTGGTAAGTGAAACACAGCATGTAGTTTTAATTTTTCATTTCTCTAATTACTAGTGACGAGCTTTCAGTCATTCAACAAACACTTAGAGTGTGCTTGCTGGGTACCCGCAGCTGAGGTAACAGAAAGGAAATGTCCCTCCCTACCAGTAGGTCCTGTGTGAACTACCCTAAGCCTTTCTCTCACTTTTCCAAGGTTTATTTAACTTCTGTTGACAATTAGTAGGAAGTTTTTCACACTCTTGTACGAGGATTTTATGCATCTGACCTATGCTGCTTTCCTTGCGACCACATCACCGTTTTAACTACGACCGTGTCGGAGTTTAATAGCTAACCTCTCCGTGTTTGTTGTTTACACCTGTGTCAGGGTTATGCTTGTACATTTCCAGTTGTCAGTTGAGACTTGTGTGCCAGACTCTGGAAAAACCAACCTCTGTGAACCGTGACTAGGGTTTCCCTGCCTCAGAGGAGGGAGCGGGCAAGAATCTGTGACCTGTACTTCCTCTGCGTTTATCCAGGTGGCTTGTTTGTGTGGTAATTTTTTATTTCCATTTTCCTCTGATAGATTTGTCCTAGGGATCCTTCCCAAGGGTCTTTCCACAATCCCCTCTGCTCCCCGAGGGCGCCGCCTGAGGATGGTGGGCAGGCCCCTCCAGAGGAGAGAGGCCGAGAGAGCGGGCTCGAGTCCCGTGAGCTTTTGGCCTTGTCCCGTGGGTGGCCTTGCCTGTGTCCCCTCTTTTCATGATCGGCGGGGCTCTGGTGCCTGCCCCCTCCACCCACACACTGAGACTCACACTCCCTACAGCCGCCCCGGAGTAGGGCGAGGTAGAGGAAGAGTCGGCCCCCCTCTCTCCCCACCATGCTTTGCCAAAGACTTCCCCAGGAGACGTGGCCCTGGCCGCACCAGTCCTAGGCCTGAACAGTGTATGACTGGCAGCCACGGAAACCGTAGGCCCAGGGGTGAGTGGGAAAATCCCAGGAGCTGCCCGCCCCTCCCGCCAGGACTGCTCACCCGGAAGGGCCACACCCTCAGGGTTGCGGCCTCCAAAGCAGCCCGGGCCTGAGCATGCAGGCGGGGGAGGGCAGGGTGGGTTGAGGCCGGGAGATGCCAGCCTGCTCTGTCCACCACCAGCTCCCAGGCCTAGTCTCTACCCAGTGTCCTGCCCACCTCTTCTGCTCAGGACCCTAACTGGGCACGAGTGTGTTGGGCCGTGAAAAGCTATACGGGGTCCCTGTGGGACAAGTTCTCCGCAGGACAAGGTTTCTGAGGCTCAGGGCCCCCGTCCAGCCAGGGAGCATCAGAGTCCTCCAAGAAGGGGGGCCAGACCCAGGATCCCGTCGCCGTGCCTGCAGCCCACCTAGCTGAGAACCAGTTTTCACTGTTGCCCCCAAACTTACTCCCACGTATAGCTCTTACCTGGGGGCCCCGGAGCCAGACACTCGGACTTACCCTTGCCCTGCTCACCCCGTGCATACCCCGCAGGCCCGTCTGCATCCAGCAAGTGCCCACTCGCTCTTCAGGGCCCACTTGCCATCTCCAGCCCTAGAGCCGTCCGGGCCTGGCCCCTCACAATCGGGTTCACGTCCACAGCCCCCTGGCCCGGCTCCTTCCATCCCTGCCCACGCCTCTGGCACAGCCTGTCTTCCCCTTGGTCAGAGCCTCGCCAAGACCTTCCTCTGTCCTGCCCAGACCCCAGGCCAGACCCTGGGAGGTGCAGGGGCCCTGGATCCACACTCACTCTTACGCCCCACTCGTGTGCACGCACACGCACTTGCCACCTCCCCCCACCTTCTTCCGAGCCTCCCTGGCCGGGTCTGCGAGCTTCCCCCGTGAGCCTTCCAGGGGAAGTAAGTCCTTGAGGGCAACTCTCCCTCCCACGTCCCCAACCTCAACCCTTTCGTTTAATTAAGTATCTATTAAGCGTGTGCTCTGCCTTAAGCATTGCGCTAGACACTAGGAAAACAGTTCCAATATAAGCGATGCTACCAAGGAAGTAAAGAGGATATTACAGTAGAGGAAATTGCTTGATGGAAGGCTGAGGCGGGAGGTGTAGGGAGCGCATCCTTGTGGCTATCTGGAGGAACTGCACGCTGAGAACAGCGGGAGAGGCCACCGCCGGGTGAGCAAGGTGCGGCGGCAGCGGTGAAGTCAGAGAGCTGCGGGCATGGGAAGGATGACTGTTGACCCTATGAGCCTCGGTAAGGACTTCGGCTTTGACTCTGCCGTGGAGACCAGAGGAGTGGCATGACCTGGACTTAGGTTTTAACCAGGATTACTCTGGCTACTGTATAGAGCAAAGACAGGGGCAAAGGTGTAAGCAGGGGGAGCAGTTCTCAGGCATGACTGCATTTATCCCTAACTAGTTCCCAACCGGCCCCTGCCCTCTGCCTCTGCAGTCCCAGCTCAGGAGGCCTCACCACCTGCTGCCCCAACATGTGACAGCTCAGGCCTGGCTTTTCCGCCTCCTGCCATCCATCAACCCCTTCTCCACAGAATGGTAAAGGGTGTTTTTTTAAATGCAAGGCTGCGTCACTGCTGGCTATGAAAGCTTCATGGCCCCTCCTTGCTCTTGGCTCAAAGTCCAAATTCTGACCCTCTGCTCACAAAACCCCACGAGGTCAGCAGCCCTGCTGATCTCTGCCCGCAGTCCTGCCCCAGCTGAGCTGATCCGTGAGTTCAGCATCAAGACCTCCCCCAGCCTCCTGCAGATTTCCTTGACCTTCCAAGGAAGTTCAAGTGAAAACACGCCTTCCTTCGGGTCCAGTAGGTGAGACAAGCATTTTCATTCCCTGCTTTCCTCCTTGAGAACCAAAGAGGCCAGGGCAGGCCCTTCCCAGCCAAAGCGCAGCTCCCGGGGGTGCTCACAGCCCATGGACAGCTGAGCTGGCGGGGGATGTAGTGGCCTGCACCATGAGGCCAGAAGCCTGGGCTCTGGGCTCCGAGGGTCCCTGCTCCATCCGGGGAGCACCCGTTCACTTCTAGATCCCCTTGCCCCACTGTGTGCACTCCAGCACTGCGCTCATTCTTACCCAGGTGACAGCTTCCTGTCCTTGAACCCTAGACCAACCTCCGCCTTGCTCTTCACAGCTCTGTGTAACTTCTCAGTGTAGTCCTGGCCCACACATTATCTGCTTTTTTAATCCTATTCCCTCAGCATCTCTAAATGGATGTGGAGCCTATAGGGAGTTTTGAGAGTATTAAAGGGATCTCTATCCTTCTTTCCCTTCTGTGCCTGCCTGTGCCTCTCTGCTACAGCGGAGAGCTCTATCTGGATCCCCACCAACACCAGGCCTCAGCCTTGCTGGCATCACACACAGACCCGTGCTGGCTGCAAGGCAGAGGCTGATGATCCCCAGACAGCTGCTGGAGACCTCACTGGCTCGTGCTGAGACCAAGTGGGAATCCAGAATTCTTTGCAGGACCTTGGTGTCTTGAATGAAGAATTGGACAACAAGCTCAGAAAAAGTGGCAAGGCTGTGGTGTTACTGGATGCAAAAAAGAAGTACAGATATGGTGAATGTTTAAATTTTAAAAATTCATTATAGTAAAAGCTACATTGCCATTAATCGCCCTCACTTCAAACTCACACATCCCATTGTTCTGGTGTTTGCCACTTTCTGAAGCAGTTCTACAAGTCCTCTTTCGTGAGTGTCTTTAGTTTGACCATCTTGGCTGCCTGAATATCCTAAACTGACTTAAAACATTTACCTTTCATGGTCATGTTGACTTTGGGGAAGAGCTAGAAGTCACATGGTGCCAGGTCTGGTGCATAAAGGGTGAGAACACACCCAGTAACACTTTCATGAGCCTGCCTTTCCATTGGATGGCACTCAGCAGCAGCTTTCACTGTATTTTTGATCACACCTTGTAAGGACACTCACAAAAGAGAACATCTAGAAGTGCTTTAGACAGTAGCAAGAACGATGGAATAACTGAGGGTGATTAATAGCAAGGTATCTTTTAGTGTGGCAAAGTTTTAAGCTTTAAATATTCACCATGTATTTTGACCCCACTTTATACACTAGAGAAATTTTTTTATTATCTCAACCTGGACAGCACGCTACTGAATGTAGTGGATAGAATCCAGAGATGCTGCTAAGTACACTAAAATTCACAGGACGGTTCCCTACAACAACGAATTTCTGGCCCCACATTGCAATAGTGGCAAACTAGAGAAAGCATGTTGACAGCGTTTCTAATATCTAAGCACAGCAGTGATTTTAAGGATTGTAGAGTGGACCAGCTTTTGTTAGTTGCTTTAGAAAACTTGAAAAAAGAAAGCTCAGGACAACCAACTATTAAATCCAGACATACTATGAAGGTCAAGAGGCCTCCGTGGCAGCTTTGAAAGAGCTCTTATCTTCTGCAGCCACAGAGCCAGTTATACAGGAAATCAAGCCCAGATTACAATTTTAAGGGTAGGGAAGCCACAAAAAAAGATGGTGTGCATGCTCTTAAAGGTTCTCCTATGACTATATGGCTCTGATAGGCAACGTAGGAAACCTTCAAACACAGAATAGGGGCATTTAGGTAATGTCAGAATTTTAGAATTTATAGGTTCCTAAAACCTTCAAGGTCAGTGGAAGCTGCTGACTTCCAGAGTGGCTCATTCTGTTTTAGCTTCCTTCTCTGGAAAACTATCCTCTAGATCTAAAGCCATAATTGGGATCAAGAGGACCCTTGGTCAGAGCTTCTTTACTCCTGTTTTGTTATGTCAATTAGAAGATCAGATGTCCAACCATGACTTTTTGATTGTCCCAACTATCTTTTGTTAGAAGATATTTACTAACAGAATTAGAGGCAATTCTCAAATTTCAGCAAGGCCAAAGCTGATTTTACCTGTTGAGACTGTATCAGGCCTTCCTGACCTGTTTAGCCAACAGGTGGGTCCTCCTGTATGGTATAATAAAAATATCTGGAAGGACAAATTCAACAATGCCGGTAGTTATAAAAGTAAAAGACCCAGCCAATGTCCCAACTAAAAGCAAATCCAGTCAAAGAGACCTGTAAAAGTCTCCAGCCTCTCATGGATAGATTTCTTAAACATGACCTTCTATGGCCTCACCAGTCCCCCCACAGTACTTCTATTCTCCCCGTAGTAAAGCCTGCAGGAAAATATAGGATGGTACAAGAACTTCACCTCATTAATGAGACTGTAACCCCAATCTAGCCTCTGGAGGTGGCTCCATACACAATCCTCTCCCAGATTCCAGGAGACATGAATTGGTTCTCAGTCTTAGACTTCAAAGATTCTTCCTTTTCTATTCCCCTCCATCCAAATTCCCAGTTTCCGTTTGCCTTAGAGTGGGAAAATCCTACCTCAAAGTAAAAACAGCCAGTATATTTCGATAGAT